TGATATGAAAATCGGAATCGTTACCAATCACAGGACAGTGCAGATGCATGACCAATCCAACCGCATCCTTATAACACTGACGATCAGAAACTACAAACGGGATGTACATTGCAGTCATTGATTGTTCCCAGACCAGTGGTGTCAGGGATAGCAAGATGGGCACATGCAGAGATGTGTGATTCGTGTCCAGTCGCTTGAGATCCAAATGCGCAACAGTGCGGCTACTCTGAAGTCGATCTCGAGATCGACTTAATTGTGTGGACAATTTGGCCGTGATATGACATTCATCAAAAATGAACATGGGTCGGGCGAGGCATCGTTCAAATATGCGGAGCGCCTTGATGGTGAAAAACTGGAGATTAAGGTTCTACCCTTTGAAGTGTGTGTCAGTTCAGTTCAGTTTGGTTTGTCAGGGCGAAATCTGACTCTTGCCAATCGCGCGTCCAGTTCGTTATGTTGTGGGCAAATGTTCTTTAATTGCAACACTAAGTATTCCATTGTCCAATGGGTTCCTTTTTGACTGAAATAGTTCTAAATTGTGGAGGTCTTCAAAACCGATGCTGTAAAAGAAGAAGGAAAACTTGTTTTCTCTCCTGTTCGGTGAAAAATCCTCATTAAAAGCCTTTCATTGGTGCGTGTGCACCGTACACGTTATTACATAGGACAACTCCATACGTTATCTGTCCTCTGATTTACTTCCCTGTTTTAGATACTGACCTCTGGGAAGGTCTCATCCCAACAGGACTCCAGTGCCCCCTTAAACGCGTTGACCTTTGTGCAGTTGACTGCCTCTTCGGGTTACTTGTTCCACTTAGGTATGACCCTGTGTGAAAATAAGTTAGCCCCACTATCCAGTCGAGCGTGGTTCCTTTGCAGCTTGAGGCTGTGGTCCCTCGTGCAGTGGTCAAGAGCTAGAGTAAACAGATCACCTAGGATGAGCCCTGACAGACCTTTCACTAGTTTGAAAGTCTCTATCAGGTCATCCTGCACACTTCTGCGTTCAAACGCGAAGAGACTGAGATCCTCTAGTCTCAGTTCGTAGCTTTTACCCCTCTATCCAGCCAACATATGAGTGGCCAGACGCTGCACCTTCTCTAAGCATATTATGTCCTTTCTGTAATACAGTGCCCACGGTTGGACAAAATATTCTCAATAAGGGCGAACAATGATCCTACATAGAGTTACGAAAACGTCCGGTTGCCTGCTAGAGACTGTTGCGCATACGCGAAATAATTTTCCTCTGGGCTCGTTCGTTGCCCTAAGACACTGAGCTGAGGGCTTAAAGTCGTGGTTCATAATAATCCCGAGGTCTCTCATTTGTGAGGACCGTTGTGTGCAGTAGACCCTTTACGAAGTATATGTAGGGTTTGGTGGCCAACAGCCGACACTTATCGAGATTCAGAGGAAGATCAAACTGAACATCGATGAACTATCTCTAACTCCCTCTGTAAATCTGTGCCCGTCATTTTGACATCATCGGCAACAATAAAGCAAGGATTTTAGAGGTTCTATGCCGGGTCTTGTATGTCCAAACCTTTGTCTATATACAAATAATGAATAAAGTTCATTGCGTCTATCGCGACCCATGGCTTGTGCAGTAGAAAATCTGAAACATTTGTCGAGTTCTGAATCACATAGCTGGTCAACCTTTTGACTTGAGTCGGCTTGCTTTGCGGGCAGAATGGTGCACTAATATACAGGGTAGAGAACCGTTAGGGTAAACCACTTGTCCAAAAATATGCTGGTAGATTGAAACCGGAAGTGTAGTCCGGATGATGATAAGGGGACCTTTGGTACAAAGAGATGTCTGCAGTCCATGGAGGTTTTGCTACTTGCCTCGTTGAAAACTCTGGTGTATTTGGAATAGGTCCGTCACAGGTGGGTATGAACGGGTAACAAAATAGACCATAGCTGTCAGAAAATGGTCTTTGATAAGTTGCTGGATCGGTGGGTTGGCTGGGGGAGTGATGAAAGTTGCAGTTCTTCTGCTGATGGGTTTCTCACACTTGATCGGTTGATGTTCTCTTCTCCACTGATTTTCTTTCTAACGAGGAAAGGAAAAGAACCTCACAGTACCACTTGTTAGAGTTGACTGGTAACAGTAAAGACATGGGAAGAATGAAAAAAATGTTTTTTGTTCTGTTATGAGAAAAGAAACTGCAAAAGTTATGGGCAAAAATATAAGCAGGATGAATTAACTAAGGCGAGAGAAGTAAGAACTACTTGGAGAGAAAGAGAAAAGCTTTCGGTAAGTCGACAGAGTAGTGTGTTTATGCTGGAACCTTACTGGTTTATGGTTTTTGAGACTTCGGCGGTTATGCTTTACCACTATCGATGGTAGTGTTGAGGGCTGGTTCTCAGTGGCAGTAGTTGGCACTGAGTCTCCAGACGAAGGATCCATAGCTCGAGTAATTCAATCAGAAAAAGTAATGTTTCCTCCCAAGAACGCTGGTTTTGGTCTATTTCAACTAGCGGACTCCTTTTCCCATTAACTTCTACTATTACTTACTTTGTTTACAAATGATTACCTTATGTAGACCAGTGTATGGTGCCTGTAGAGGTGTGCGGGTGCTATCTACATGAAGGAAGACGTGCGTTCGATTCTTTGGTACGTAAACGGATACCGTTTGCTGCCGTGTTGTTGCAGCACCTCATGCATGTGATGCGCGAGCCGTTGTTTAAAATCTGCATGATTAAAGCTACGTTGGGGCTTAGGTGAAACGAATTCACCCAGAAGACGTAACGTGTAACCAAAATCTAGCAAACGGTGTAGTGTGCAACTCGGTTTTTAACGTATTCCGAATGCTCAGCAGGACAAGCGGAAGAGACCCATGTCATTCTGAACCAGGCTGAGCCTTGAAATCTGTTTTCTCCCTCCCCTCCCCTCTTCCCTTTCAAGTTTCTTTCTTTAATTACCTGAATCCCCATTGAATCCCCCTCGCTAGCGCGCCGTGCTCTCAAATTCTCGTCGGCGGGCATTACTCATCTATCGAAAACCAACAAACCAAGATCCGAGACCATTGGGTTTAGCCTGGAACCCGTGAAATAATTCAAGACTTCAAGACTTCCAGTTGTCTATGGAAACGCTCCACCAGGCTGTTTGCCGACAGATGATATACGGTTGTGCGAGCGTTTTTATACTCTGGCATCGTGAGTAGCGCTTTAAATGACCTTTCGAAATTAGAACCTCTATCGGTGGTGACGGTCACCGGGCAGCAATAAGTTGCTCCCAACTCTTCAACAGCAACTTAACTGTCGTTTCGGATGAGCAATTATGGAGTGAGAATGCCTGTGACCAACGGAAGAAGTGGTCAACGCAAGTCAGTAGGTATGTGAAACCTCCTGAATGTGGTAGTGGTCCCACTAAATCGACGTGAGTGTGCTGGAAACGAGCGGTTTGGGTGTCGGAGGTACCTTATGGCCTCTTGGTGTGAAGTGAGATCTTACAACCTTGACACTTCAAGGAAGAACGTGCTCATGCAGCTACATGGGGGTTCATCTTAGGCCAAACAAAACCCTCAGCTATAAGCTTTACTGAAGCTCGTATTCCTGTTTAAGCTTAGTTGTACATGGCAGTGAAAACCTGCTTCCTGCGCGTGTGGCACTACTGGGCGTGATGTACCCGTGGAGATGTCGCATAGTATGATGCCCTCAGACATTCTTAGTGGTACCTCTCGGAGTTGAAGGAAACTGTTACTTTTAAGAAGTTCCATTTCCGGGTCAACTGTTTGTAAAGCTGCGAGTTGTCTTAGGTTGATGGTGTCGGAGAAGATGGGGTGGACATGTTAAAGTGTATCGATGAAAGGGTTAATTGCCACTGAGATGTGTATTATATCATCAGTAAACCGAGTGACGTAATCTAGATGGCGTGACTCTAGCAGAATTTGCGCGTGCTGCGAAAATGAGTGGTTTGTGATTCGTTAGGATGCTGACATGACTAACTTCTAGCATGTGTCGAAAGTGACGGATTACCAGGTAGATGGCTAGGAATTCGCGGCCGAATATGCTGTTACAAGACTCAACCGGTTGAAAACGTTTGGAGAAGAATGCTAAAGGTTACCACTTTTGACCACACATTGCTATAATACCTCACCTTCTGCTAGGTTGGATGCGTCCATAGTGAGCGCTAAAGGTTCGTCCGGCATGTGAGGTATAACTGCAGCTATCCTGGGGATAGTCCGTTTCAGTTCGGTGAATACTTTGCAAACCTCGTCGACGAACGAGAATTATATCGTCTTACCAAATAGTATATTGGTGTGCTGTTGCGCAAGCTCTGCACAGCAGGGTAAGAAAAGTCGATAAAAATTTACTAACACATCTGAATATCTAAGTTGTTTAATGGAACTCTGTTCTGGAGTATTCCAGAATGGCCACCTTTTTGTCTTTAGGTTGAGAAATACCTGTGTTGGAGATCAGATGACCTAAGACGTTTACGCAGTGCTCTCCAAATGAACGTTTTGTTAAATTAACGATGACATCATGCTGTGTCAGACGTGCAAATAAAGTGCGTAGGTGTTTTATGTGTTCACCAAGCGTTCCGTCTGCAACCAAAATGTCGTCTAAGTAAGCAAGGATGTTGTTTAGTGTAAAGGAAATCCAAACAACGTTCAATACGAATCGCAGTGTACTGACTTTGACTGACCAAGTTTCCAGCACGTAGAACTCGGTTGGACAACAGTTGAAATTTCGTTTCTGTTATATATATGTATAAATACATAATTGCTACTCACGAAACCGTCGAAGGTCCCAGTTTCAAAAAGACAAATTATAGAGCAAATCACGGGGCAAGACTATAAAGATACTGAGCGGGTTATGAAGAGGTCGGTTAAAACAACGGTTAAAACCGTTGAGTTCACAAAAGAGAAAGAGGACATAAGAAAGGACGATAATTGAATCAGAAATGTAGTGTATAGCAAAACTGTTGGAAAACCATCACACCGGCTCGCCAATCGTGCCGCGATTTCTTGTTGTCTTCTACATACACTTTAAAACGGAATGATGTTTCCAATGGACATCTCAATAAGTGATTATGAGGATCGAGTGGCGTCATTTGTTTTCAAGACGCTGACTGCATCGTTTCTATTACATCGTTGTTTGAGTGTCCGTCTTAAATAAGATAAAAGGTTAACCCGTCGAGCCTAAAGATAATACCGGGGAAAGGAGATGATTACCTCAGGTTCAGTGAGAGTTCACCGAAGGCGACTGAATGCCACGACTGACCAGGGTGTAGAGGAGTCGAACACTGTCGCTCTTCAGAGGGACACAATTTTCATCAGACAGTTATCATGATATAACAATGGATTAAGCATAACCGTCGAAGCTGGGTGTTAGTGAATCCGGTTTTTGCTTTCTCCCCCATATGCAGAAAGCTAGCAAAGCAGTCGGCGACTACAACTTACAGCAGTTCATAGCAATTTGTGTTGAGTGTAGTTGTGGCGTTGATCGCAGATAATTACCGATTGGATTTCAATGGGGCACGGTGTTCACCATCCATTTGGAGACTGAGACTGCAATTAAGCTCGCAATGCACTTGTTCATGTTCATCCGCATTGATGGTGCCCTAATGTCTAAGGCGGATTTGTACACTCGTGGCAAACAATTCAACCGAGAGTATGCCACCAGCTTATACAGCTGGCCTGTCGCCCGACGGTGTGGCTCCTAATGATTATCGGTAAGAGTCATAATAAATTTTAATATGAAGCTTAATCATAACATACGAATAAAAGTGTCAGTGATCGTAATCCATAAGCCAACGTTTGAATAGCGAATGAAAGGAAGAGTGCTAAAAGGTTGGTGTTTAGTTATTGTTTGCTTATAATTTCATCAAAACGGCCAGAAGAATCTCCAAATCTATGATGCTTCCTAGAGGTTTGTTGGGAAAATGCCGATGTTCGTAAGCCAGCGTTTTGAGTGACGCTAGGAATATTTGGTGGTCCGTTAATCACGTTGGAATAGACTGAGTTCCAATGAACCCGTGTTCACTAGCCAAATATCGAGCCCAAGTGTTTCGGGTTGAACAGTTTGCCACTGAACCCACCTGTTCATTAGCCGATTGTTTCAACAGTGGCCTATTTTATTACAGTCCCCGCTTTTGATGCTGTACCGAATTGGTTAATTTTCAATAAATCCCTGCTGCTTGCTCTCGTTAAATCGATGACGGTATTTCTTGTTGAAGTGTCAAAACATCACAGATGTGCTCAAAATGTTTCAGTCAACGCACAAAGCCGGACATTAAGGATTGGGTGAGTGTTTGTAGATTGTCCAGTTGGTGTTATTACAAGGTGTCAGTTTTTTTAAGTATTGAAAATCTAGAATGATAAAGGGACATATTTGTGATGCGGATGAAGGGTAAAAATTAGAGACCAAATGTTCCATGATAAACGCAAGTGCTAAGGGGGTAGAACGTTTGTCTCACTAAATCGGATAAGGAGATGGCAAAATACAATGTGCAGATAAATGTATCACTTCCTGGAGAGTCAAACAATTTCATGCTCATTACCTTGAACATAGCCTAGGACCCTTTCTAATAGGCAGATATTTCTGACGTCCCTTCTGAACGAGCCATTAGTGGTTTTTACCTCTACTTCTCTCACGATTTAATCCTTGCACTTTCTGATTTCTTGTGAAAAGCCCATAGGCAACTCGCTCCTGGGTTTGTTATCATTTACCAGTATTACCAAATCCCTTGGTTGAAACTCGCTCTGTCATTTATACCCTAAGATCTGATTTGAAGTAAATTTAAGTATTCCCTCATCTACCGCTTCCAGAAGCCATTCGCGATATCTTGCATTCCACGCCATTTATGGTTACAACGGTGTAGTAGGGATTTCACCCCAGAAATCGAACCACAGCGCCCTATAGTAAGCATCATCTGTGGCTTAAAAGCTTTGGAAGCTTGCGGATCGACTTGTTGCAGGAAGAGCAGTTGATCATTCATAATGCATTCAGCCTCTACCAGGGCCGTGAGCAACACTTCATCCGTCACCTTTCTCGCACTCAGGAGTGCCGTAAGTATTCTCTTTATAATTTTATTTAAGCTTTCATGAATTTCTCATGGTTAGTTGAAGTCGGAAGTATTGAAGTATTGAAGTTTCAAAGTGGCACTAGGGTGAGAGGCTTGGCCCAACGGTCCCGGATCTGAGTGGTTTCCAAGGTTTCTTCTGATCCTGTGTCCCGGTGAACCGCTACGGACAAGGCTCCACTGCGGCGGATGTTGGATAACCAGGTTGAGTGCGCGTCCTGTTTGTACAAGAAGGTTGCCTGAAACGAGGTAGGAGCAGCGCAGAGGGGTGCAGTGCGACAAGTCGAAAAATTCAGAAAAAAATACGGAATATGAATAACACCATGGGACGGCGAGGTCTTACCGTTCAGAGATTAGACCAAGATACAGGTCTAGATTCCTTTTGAAAGCAGATTTTGTGGGTATTAACTACCTTTTGGAATTGGAATGACCCTGTGAGTGAAAGAGCACTGACGGACACGGGCACGGGGTTTGAAGAGTTTCCTGCTATGATCACGAAGGTTATCCACGCTATTGCGCACAAAGAAGTCATCTACCTTGCCGGACTTGAGGAGTTTGTACATTAGGAAGATGTCTTCTCCTATCCAGCGGGCTTCTAGGGGATACAGATACAAGATGGAGAGGCGTGTAAAGTAAGGGGTGGAGAACAAGCCGTGCATAAGTTTTGTCGCTCTCCGTTGCACACGCTCGATGACCTTACAGTCGCTCACCAAGCGGGAGTGAGCAATTTGGTTTTCGTATTCCAATAAGAGTCGAATATACGCGCTATAGAGAATCTGAAAGTCATCTCTATCTATTCTGGGAAATGAGCGTTTCAAGAAGTTAAGAACGCGGAAGCCGTATCTACTAGCATTTTGTTGGTTGTAGGAGAACTAGAGTGGCCTGGTCAGCCAGAAACCAAGAACCTTATGTTGTTCTACACTCTCAATGGTCGTGGAAGAGCTGTGTACAGGGAGCCTCCCAAACGACATACTAACGTATTTGTCGTCGTTTACTGGAAGGTTCCAGACAGTAGACCAGTCTTTGACTACATCCATTGCTGGTTGAACAGCCACAGGATCGGTGCCCTCACTTGTCACATCATCGGCGTACATTGCGACGTTGACTCCGATCCTGTGTGGCAGATTATTAATA